GGTCACAACTACGAACATGATATCACCTTGTTGGAAACCGTCGCACTGCCAGTCTGTCAAGGTCATCTATGATGGAGCTCCAGGGCCATTTTTTTTGTTGGGCCTAGGCAGCGGACCCTAAAGGTAACGTTGTTTTTCATTCATTCCTTACACACTAATTTAAACAAATTAATGTGTTACGTATTTGAGCTAGGGTAGGTTCCTGCATTTATTTTTTTCATTTAAAAAGTAGAACTCTGCGCCATCTCTCCCCAGACTGCAGACTCTCCTCCTTCTCTTCCGCCTCTCCCTCTATCTACCAAACCAGGAACACACAAAATGATTGCTTCTTTTGGAGTCGCTGCTGTTGCCTTCCTTCTCACTCTTCAACCAGGTAAAATCACCTTCGCGTCTCCAATAATTCTTCACTTTTGCTGACTACGAGCGTTCTTAGCCCTCGCGCTCGTCCCTGGTACTTCTGCCAACAATATTTTTGCCAGGCAGCTTGGTAGTATCGATCCAAACATCATTCCAACTTCCTGCCTTTCATCGGGCTGTCAGGCCCTGGAGAATGCTGTCTCGGTTTGTATAATAATATATTACTTGGATTCAGGATATTGTAATTTACTTTCAACCATTTTTAGGCTAACTGTGCCACTCTGGACTGCCTATGTACCACCACCGTCGTCAACGCTTTGAAGAGCTGCTTCCAGTGTGCCGTCACCGCTGCTGGTGGGACGTTCACACAGGCCGACTCTGACACCGCTCTTAACGGTATGCGTGTCTACATTTATCGAAAGGTTACAATTCTGATTTTTCTTTCTTTTATATATCAGGGTTCGCTGAAGGCTGCGCGGAAGGTGGCTTCCCAATTTCCGGCATTTCAACTTCGGGTGGAAGCACCGGCGGGTCGAGTAGTGGTCTTGGTAGCAGTGCTTCTGTTACTGGTGGCAGTACTCCTGTTGCCACCAGTCTCGGTGGTAGCGCCAACACAGCTACTGCTGCTACTGCTGCCAACACGGCTACAGCTGCCAACACGGCTACAGCTGCTACTACTGCCAACACGGCTACCGGTTTACCCAAACTCGGGGCTGCGTCGAAAATCAGCGTGGGCACTTTCGGTGTCATGGTCGCCGCTGCTCTTGGTGCTATTGTGCTCCTATGAGAGAGTAAACGGACAATTTGTGATGAGGGTTCCAACTTGCAGGCGGTTTTTGACTGGGATAGGTTTATAGAAGAGAAGCTACTTACGGCGAGCTCGACAGTATAAATGAGTGTTCGTTGTGACATGTTCGGATGATAACTTGCATGGATGGATACGTGCGTGGTATAGCAGCCAGACTTTCACTCTATTGCCATCATTACTATTTCTTCTTGCAATGAGACCTCAGTCTGGTGGCCGAATCGAAGCTCCTCAGTGTCTACTACCCCCCGATATCGGAGGGACCTAGAACTACCAGTCTCTGGCACCCTGTATACTCACCAGGCTCTTGGTCAACGGTTCTTGAAGTCGATGTGGGGCAAATGCATTGAATTTAACAAACATCATGGCCGTATCACGAAAGTGGCCCTCTTGTTCTTCCATCTCCAATTTCCGCTTCACAAGGGCATGGCGGATGAGGATGAAACCATACTTCAGCTCATGCAGTGCATATACACTGGTAATGGAGGAATGGCCTCAGATTGGGCCCGTTAACAGCGTGTATCTTTGATAGGTTTTCAAACTTTGCTGGGTAGGATTCTTTGCAGTCGCCATGACAGCCACAACCCGACACTGGACTTAATATGTATTTTCTGCGGTCGTGGTTCGTAGAGGTGTTGTCTCGCTTTGACCTCTGCATGCCTCCCACTCGACGTTCGTCTCCGGGTTTCTCGGTCAGGCGTGGAATAGAATAGGTGTTACTCTCCATACCCACATATGCGTCGGTAATGGAGGGCAGAAGTGGAGGGATAACGCAGACTCTTGCCTACTCATTTTCATTTTCATATCACTTTTTTGGGGGCAAAGATCGTGTGGTCTTCCTGGTGAGGCCTCAGCTTTCTGAACCAGTGTTCATCTCTTCCGGACTAGAGCGTGGAGAACGAGACAGACCATATGTCTTTTTGGGTCATCCTTTGCGACATGGGATCTGCTTGGTCCCTGAACTTGGAGATTCCAAGATCTTGAATTCTCTGACAAACATTTCCATGGTCTCCAACATACTTGTATCTGGATCTCTTTGTTGGACATTCATAGCTTTACCTTGTGTCTGTCAGACTCTTTCTTTCAGCGCCCATGGTTTCCATGCCCCATTTTTATATATTCTCTCATGGTGTTCTACCACCCACTTAGACTCCGCTCAGGCTTTCACAAGTTCTTATCTTGCCTGAAAGCTGCAGACATAAAACAACCACGCACCTTGACGGAAGCGTAGGCTTATTCCCGAGACTTTGACATTATTAACACGCGTTCTCGCGATTTGGGATAAAATTCTTTCGGCCATAAGTGTTTCGTTTTCAATCACTCCACCTTTTTCTCATTTACATAATTCTCTTTAATCGATTCTTTGTCCCCTGGACACGATGGACCATCCTCAATTTCACCCCCATGTCTCGCAATGTTGATCTCATCGCAAAGTGCTGTGCGCTCTCCTTCCTACCTGCGATTATCCACATGCATCTGTCAATTCGGTAGCCTATCAGCATCGACTACTTGTTTAACCAAATCTGGGTACTCTATTGTAATTCACTCACTTATGCAGTGCATATGTCACTCACAATCTATAAAATTGTTTACACTTGAACATCTAAAATTAGGCTTTAAGCTACCGAAGACCTTCATATTTACTCTTCCCTTACTTCTTGCCGTTCATCAAGTTCGTTTCCTTCAGAGTCATAAATTCCTATCATATTTCGTTACACTATTTTTAGACCGTCAATGAGCTTTTCGTTCTTTTTTTTTTTCGGATCCAGTTTGAGGGCAGGGATGTTCTGGATTCTCCCGTGAACATTTGCCATATAATAATGGCTAATCTGCGCGAGCCCTCCAGAAGCCTCCAGACTCCTCCAGATGAATATCTCGAGTGATTTTGGTCGTGCGAAGATCAACGTGATTAGTAGATTTCCACTTTAAGGTTGGTGCACTGCGTTACAGGGTCTTTGATTCAAATTCTGGCAGCGGGCGGTACAAGACGGTACATATGCACACTAATCGTGAATCGGATGACTTGAAATCTCTGGAAACGCTGACCACTCCTTTGATTGCAGACCGAATGAACGCTATATGTGAGTCATATGTTCCAACGCACTGAGGAAAAATGATTGGATGTTGAATGTTGGAATTATCACGCCTGACCATGCTTGACCAGGCTTGACCCCACTGAGTGTGTGGCGGAAGCCGGCCTTAGCGAGGTTTATTAACCGTATATCCCCGATTCTCACAAGTTCTTACATCCCCTTGACCATTTTTCAGTTGATAAAGTCGTTTTGGCCGACTATATATGACGATTCACACTGCAACATAGTCACAGCCTGACTGAACATGATCTCACCCTGTTGGAAACCGTCACTCTGCCAAAGTCAAAAGTCATATATGATATATGATAGATCTTCAGCCTGAGGCCCATCACCCCTCTTGGGTCGCAGGCGGACCCTAAGGTAACATTGTTGTTCGTTCCTCTTGCGGACCATAAACGCCGATACACACAAATTTAATGTGTTATTTGAGCTAGGGAGATCCCTGCGTTTAAAAAGTAAAGCCTTTCCAACTTTTCTTCTTCCATCAACCCCCATTTTTTCCGCTTCTCCCTCTATCTACCAAACCAGGAATACGCAAAATGATTGCTTCTTTTGGAGTCGTTGCTGCTGCCTTCCTTCTCACTCTTCAACCAGGTAAAATCACCTTCGCGTCTTCAATAATTCTTCACTTTTGCTGACTACGAGCGTTTTTAGCCCTCGCACTCGTCCCTGGTATTTCTGCCAACAATATTTTCGCCAGGCAGCTTGGTGGCCCTATCGATCCAAACATCATTCCATCTTCCTGCCTTTCATCGAGCTGTCAGGCCCTGGAGGATGCTGTCTCGGTTTGTATAATAAAATGTTACTTGACTTCGGGATATTGTAATTTACTTTCAACCATTTTTAGACTAACTGTACCACTCTGCAATGCCTATGTAGCAGCACCGTCTTCACCGATTTGAAGAGCTGCTACCAGTGTGCCGTCAGCGCTGGTGGGACGTTCACACAGGCCGACTCAGACCTCGCTCTTAACGGTATGCATGTCTACATTGATTGAAAGGTTGCAATTCTGATTCTTTCTTCTTTTATATATCACTGATCAGGGTTTGCCGGCGGCTGCGCGGAAGGTGGCTTCCCAATTCCCGGTGCTTCAACTTCGGGTGGAAGCACTGACGGGTCGAGCGGTAGCAGTAGCAGTGTTGGTAGCAGTGCTTCTGCTACTGGTGGCAGTACCCCTGTTGCCACCGGTCTCGGCGGTAGCGCCAACACAGCTACTGCTGCTACTGCCGCTACTGCCGCTACTGCTGCTAACACGGCTACCGGTTTACCCAAATCTGGCACTGCGTCAAAAATCAGTGTGGGCACTTTCGGTGTCATGGTTGCTGCTGCTCTCGGTGCTATTGTGCTCCTATGAGAGAGTAAACGGACAATTTGTGATCGGGGGTTCCAACTTATTTAGGTGGTTTTTGACTGGCATAGGACTTATAAAGATGCCCAAGCCACTATTTTTCACCTACAGTATTCAACCTAATGTCTTTGTGTTATGATGATCAATTTATATTTTCCTAAATAAATACTACTGCAAAGCACTGCTCAAGATTTTAAGGCCCAGTGAAAAGTGGGCCTAAGTAGTAAGGGCTGCCTAATTAGTGATGTTACAGCTTGGTTTAGGCTTGACATGGCCTTTAAAAATCCAGGCCCAAGCCATAGTATAGGCCAAAGTATAGTATGGCCTGGGCTCAGGCTATAGACAAGATAAACTACATATTTATAACATAAGATAAAATGTAAGAAATATAATGGGGCTAACCTCAGTTCTCAAATAAAAGGACTGAGGGATGATTATGTGAACTTGACTTACCTCAGGCCAGGGTATATTTTATTATTTTAGTCTTCCTTCATGATCTGAACCCATACTTCATTGAGCTGCTCCATATATTTAGTCCAGGATTTCCATTCATGACTCTCTTGATCAGGTATTGTGGAGTTAACAAGGTAGCCTTGTTGTCCTCTTACTGGAATATCTAACAATTACCTTGCTGTAAAGCAAGGTTTCTCCCAGGTCTAAATTCAACATTTGTTGATTTACAACGTCATGGTATAACACAAATAAATACAATACGATTTCATTCATGTTCTAAATTTCTAAAGCCCCCGAAATGTTGTACCCTTTTTTTGTACATGTTTGGTCTTCAAGAACATGTAGTCACATAAGCTACCGTTTGTTGTCGTTTCAACATCTTCGGGCCTCAAAAATCTCACCTTTTGCCTACCTCTTCCCCAACATCCCTACCACCCTCATCTGTCGTTCATCCCCGACCATGTAACACCAACATCTCTTGAAAAGAAGAAAGGAAAGGACATCACCTGACACGGCATTCTCTCCTGTACCCTTATCGACGGCTGGCCACTCCGTATTGTTATTGCATAACCCTAAACCCTTACCTCCTGCTCTCGCTTGCTCTCAAATTTACCATCCCACCCAACCCTATCCCTCTCTCTCCCTCGTCGCTTTTTTTTCGACAGCCGCTCCCTGTGTATTCAGACGCCTACCTCTGACTCGCTAGACAGACTCAAATAGAGTCTACCACTTAGACTCTTATGCTCCCGGTCACCGGTAATGTCTGCACTCCTTCCAAACCAAGCGGTCAAAGTTAATCTTCCTGATAGTAACATATACATATAACTTACTACCCACCCTCAAAA